CAAGTTTAACTTTGTTGGTTAACTAGGGAAATTATGCCACATATTAAGATTTTTGTTGGTTAACTAGGGGAATCATACCATATATTGAGATTAACATTTGGTAAGCCTCAATTGCACATGTCACACCATATGTTAAAATTGACATTTGGTAGGTCTAGTTTGCCTCCAAGTAGGTTCGACCCAAGGGGTAGGGTATCAAGAAAACAAACTTCTTAGGAAAGTTACAACTCTTGACTTCCATTCATGAGGAAGCTTATAAGGAAGTTTGGTCCAGTTTACCTTTAAATGGACTTGACTTGAGGAGTAGGGTGTTAAGAGGGCAAGCCTCTTGGGAGAGCTACAACTCTTGACTTTCGTTTATGAGGAAGTTTACAAGGAAGTATGGTGGATTATAAACAACCAAAAAGAATTACTTAAAAAACAATCTATAAGGGTTCAAATATACAAAGAAAAGCCCATGAATAAGAGTGCACCTTTCTTTTTCAATCAATATTGAGATTGATATTTAGACTTATCACACTACATGTTGAGATTCAAGTCTAGTTTAACCCAACGTGAGTTTGACTCGAGGTGTCAAGAGAGTGGGGCTCTCGAAAGAGCTATGACTCTCAACTTCCGTTCACGAGAAAGCTTATAAGGAAGCATGGTAGTTGTAAATAACTAAAGAAAATGACTTGAGAGATAATGTTCAAATATAAAAAGGAAGTGCCTATGAATAAAAATGCACTTTTTTTCTAATTAGTTAAAAGTCTTAGGATATAACATCCTTAATTTTGAATAGTTGTAGCGCACGTGGTTTTGACCCTTTATCCTATGGTGATTTACCATAGAATAACACCACGAAGCAGAACCTAAACCCTTTTTGTGCCACGTGACAGATGCCACGTGTCACATGCCACGTGTCCATAGGAACCCAAGGTTCAGTGCCTTGGGCCACTGAACGAAGGAACGGTGCCAAACTCCCAAGCATGATGCCATGGAGTGACGAAACCGTACCACGGAGCAACTCCCGAGCATAAAGCCCAAGGAGCAAATGGAGCCAAACGGAGCCTGGCGCTATTTCGGCATACCGGTGGTCTAACGTGAAGATATGGATACTCCACCAACTAGCATAGAATGGAACTTGGGCTTAGACCCAAGCCGGACGTAGAACAAGGACAGGCACGCAAGCGGGAGCTAGACTATGCTTTAGGTTGGTCGGCCATGCCCGACCTACCCACTATCCCTACTAAAAATTGGGAACCCTTTAAAGCCCCCCCCCCCCCCCCCCCCCCCCGCTTGAGGAACACATGCTTTGAGGTTTCACCCCAAGCCTCCCTTAGTATCATGAGTTAGTCTCTGGGACAAGCTTGAAACTTATTAAATATGGAATGTCTCTAAATTGTGAATTTGGACATGGGACGAACACCATTGTGTTCAGGACGATTTCTACATTCTGTAGATATGCCAAATGAGCAAATCTGGATACTTTCCATAAATAGCATTTTGGACCTAAATGAAACTAACGCTAAGGGCATGATAGCAAGGGTGTTTGGTAGACACGGTAAACTATCATTTAGCGATATTAAGGGACCAAGCTTAATATCGTGGGGGTTCCTAACTCTAGCAAGTGCCAGCCAACATCATGAGTTTCTCATCACCGTGTCAAGTCTGTTTGACTAAATGACAACTTAGGATTTCCTTCCTTAGTGCCCTTCCGGTCTAAGTGCACATGTAATGACCAGTTTCTCAACTAGCTTAGGCAGAGACTAATAACAGGTCCAGCAACACCGACCTCCTGCCATCGTGGGGTAGGGTATCAAGAAAACAAACCTCTTAGGAAAGTTACAACTCTTGACTTCCATTCATGAGGAAGCTTACAAGGAAGTTTAGTCCAGTTTACCTTCGAATGGACTCGACTTGAGGAGTAGGGTGTCAAGAGGGCAAGCCTCTTGGGAGAGCTACAACTCTTGACTTTTGTTTATAAGGAAGTTTACAAGGAAGCATGGTGGATTATAAACAACCAAAAAGAATGACTTAAAAAACAATCTATAAAGGTTCAAATATACAAAGAAAAGCCCATGAATAAGAGTGCACCTTTCTTTTTCAATCAATATTGAGATTGATATTTAGACTTATCACACTATATGTTGAGATTCAGGTCTAGTTTACCCCAACGTGAGTTTGACCCGAGGTGTCAAGAGAGTGGGGCTCTTGAAAGAGCTATGACTCTCAACTTCCGTTCACGAGAAAGCCTATAAGGAAGCATGGTAGTTGTAAATAACTAAAGAAAACGACTTGAGAGACAATGTTCAAATATAAAAAGGAAGTGCTTATGAATAAAAATGCACTTTTTTTCCAATTAGTTAAAAATCTTAGGATATAACATCCTTAATTTTGAATAGTACCTTCAAATATCTACAAGATCAACAAAAGACTAAGACTTCATAATCAAGCCCACTCAGGTGACAAATCCCTTAGAATTTGTCAAGCTTGACAACCAAACTATACAAATACTACGGGTAGTGAGATCTTGCTACCACAAAATTCACTACAAATTATAAGTAGTGAACATATCAGGAGAGTGCTCACCAATAAGACAATGAAGTGCTTTGCTTCAAAGTTGGCTTCCAAGATCAGCAACATAACTCCCAGCATCGAGGAGGATTGGCAGCCAAACTTCAAGCCCAATCCTTTCAAGTTCTTCAGCCCCTCTGACGATGAGCAAAAGTGTGTTTGGCTCAGATCCCAGATCATTGGCTCCCAGCTCCAAATCTCCACACCATTCGGCAGCAGGCTTCTCACTTATGCCGATTACACTGCCTCTGGCCGCTGCTTGTTCTATATTGAAAACTTCCTCATCAAGCACGTCATGCCGTCCTACGGTGAGTGAAGCCGTGAATTCTCTTCTGCACATCTGGACCCGCTGCATTCTGTTTCAGGGAACACGCATGCCGAGGACAGCTACGTTGGAGAGAAGACCACCCGGATGGTGAAACTGGCCACGAGTTATGTCAAGGAGTCCCTGGGAGGAACTGAGGATGATGCTCTCTTTTTCTGCGGCTCTGGAACCACTGCAGCTGTGAAAAAGCTCCACGAACTTTTGGGCTTGTCTGTGCCGCCCCAAATAAGAGAGTCAGCCGTGGCAGCGATCGATGACAGGAAGAGATGGCTGGTGTTCATAGGCCCATACGAACATCATTCCAACATTCTTCCCTGGAGCCAAAGTCTTGCCGAGGTTGGACTTTTTCGTTTCTTTCAATCTGTCAGCTGTTTAAACCACAGGTTATTCAAGTTCCAATGACCGAGGATGGATTGATTGACATGAAGTACCTCGAAGAGGAGCTACAAAATCCCAAGCACGCAGATCGTCCAAAGCTGGGTTCCTTCTCCGCTTGCAGTAATGTCACGGGAGTTTTAGTGGACACTAGAGCCATCGCTCGCCTTCTACACAAACATGGAGCATTAGCATGTTTTGATTTCGCAAGCTGGTAAGACGAGATCTTTTACCAAGGACGAAAAGAAGCTTACTTGCCGAATCTGATCAACAGCGGTCCATATGTGAAGATCAACATGCAATCGCAAAAGGCTGATGGATATGATGCTGTGATGCTGAGTCCACACAAGTATGTCGGAGGGCCAGGAACACCGGGCCTGCTTTGCATGAACAAAAAGCTTTACAAGCTCAAGGATCACGCACCGTCGACAACAGGTGGAGGAGTGGTAGACTTCGTCAACTACAACAAAGAGGTCAGTTCCCTTTCCAGCGAAAGAAAAAAGAAAACCAACACTAAACAGACTCATACCAGGACACACTCTACCTGGAGGACATTGAAAGCCGAGAAGACGCTGGAACACCTTCCATACTCCAGCGGATAAAAGCCGGGATTGTCTTCACTGTCCAAGAAGAAATGGGATACCGTCTCATCGAGTCGAGAGAGCACAACTTCATCACCACCGCGTTGAAACGGTTGTCCAAGAACCGAAAGATAGTGGTGCTCGGGAACACGCAAGTGAAACGAGCAGCAATCGTCTCGTTCCTCGTCCGGACCACTGATTCCAACGGTGGAATCCAGCAAACCGTGCTGCAAGGCCGGTTTGTAGCCAAGCTCCTCAACGATTTGTTTGGGATCCAGTCGAGAGGAGGGTGCTCGTGTGCTGGTCCTTACGGCCACTCGCTTCTCAAAGTCAGTGATGAGCTCTCCCTGAAATTTCGAGCAGCAATTCAAGAGGTTGAGAAGCAAAACAATAGAAGTTTTCACCAAGGAGGTTTTTCTAACGAGGAAAGAACTTTTTTTTCTCTCACAGGGATATAGCGGTGTCAAACCTGGATGGACGCGCTTGAACTTCGCATACTTCCTCTCCAAGGAAGAGTTCCATTTCTTGCTGTGCGCCATAGAATTCGTGGCGGACTACGGCCAGCGCTTTCTCCCCCTCTACGAATTCGAGTGGCAGACTGGGAACTGGAAATACGAGGAGAAAAACAGCATCAACACCACCGCCAAGGCCACATTACACAAGGAATGGACCAAACTCCCACTGCTCCAGCAGCACAAAGATTACCTGGGTACCGCTATGGCGATTGCGAAGCAGCTGGCACACGATCCAGGCCAGGGCAGCACGGCGCCCGCCGGCATTGATCCCGAGCTCGTTACCTTCCGATTCTAGGGTTCTTGAGCGCTATGTACTAGTATATTCGTTTCGCATCAACTCAAACAAAAGTTTGTGTGGTGGGATATATATACTTTACGCAACCCATCTCCAAAGTGAACGAGTGTTTCAGTGACTTCGCAAGACTCTCTGAAGATTGAGCACGTGTTTGAGACTAAGATTCTTGCATTGTCGTTCATCACAGGTAGATTGTGAGGTGAGAAGGATCCAATGGGAATTTCCGGACAAACATGAGGCATGGAACTGCGGTGTGTATAAACATTTGATTTAGTGATTCTCAAGCTTTCTATCAGATGCTTATGTAAATCAAGAGCATGTTTTGCTGGGAAAGCTCACTGTTCTGGAGACAATCACTTACTCTGCTTATTTGAGGCAGCCTACCAAAAGAGGAGATGGTTGACAGTGAGATGGGGCTTGGAGACAGTGGTTCTCGCGTGGATTGATTGGAGGGAGGAAACGAAGAGTTAGCATTACCTTGGACACCCAAACGCAGTCATCTCTTAGTGGTTTAGAGAAGTAATTATTATGTCTGATTTATTTGATGATTTTCTGTGCAGAGCATCCGCTTGATATGTGATTAGATCCAGGCGCACTTTTATCATGTCAAATTCACCAGACAGTGTTTTAGCAGTTTAATAATCTTTGCTTAATCTCTCAAGCAGAGTGGCTTGTATATTTTGGAAATACCATGCGTGGTATTCATTTTATCAATTCGGACTTTGACAGTGTTTAAGGTATTTTCATCTGTATAGCTTTTTAAGAAAAAATTTCTTAATGATCTGAACAGGAGATAGGGGCAGTGGGAATACCATTCATGGGGTGTCACTAATCACATGACTAAGGCATTTGGCTAACTCAAAAGATAATTATGAAGAAATCAAAGTGCTTACAAATGCATTTCTTACAAAAGCATATTGTGTTCCAGTTCTCAGTTTGCATTTGAACTTGCTCCACACAAAAGTTAGGTGAAGGTTGAAGACAATTTGGGTGACACATAAACTTTTTATAAAATTATGATTACTAATGCATCCAGATGCCAGAAGATCATTTACAAATACGACAAGTGAAACATGAATGACAAGCTCACGAATCCATACTTTTAATTTTAAGCATTTGTTTTCTTAGAGGTATTAATTTTAGTTTTCCCATCTATGAGCTGAGTGAGTTTGATGATAGTAATAAAAATTGCTCAATAAACCAAAATCATGCTTAACAGGATTATAAAGTTCAACCATTTAGATCTTGAGAGATCTACTTGATAATGTTTAAGAATTGTTGTTCCTGATAGCTTTCCTTCAGAAATATCATTATTATCAAACTCAAGCCC